CATGCATAGCCTGAATCTCTCCCAGGAGGCTTGCTGTGTGTGTAAGGTGTGTAGCTGTTCCTTCCCCTGCCTTTATGTTACACACTCTTCCTTGGACTGGGGAGCCTGATCACTGCCTCATCTTCAGAGGCTACTTCTGGAAACTGCAGTGAAAACCAGTGATGTTCCCCTACGGCTCTGTTTTGGGGACAGGGGAAGGGAAGTTCTGTTGTTGGTTTTGCTTAATGATTAAAGAAGAGCAGATAGAGAAACCTTAACAAAGTCTGCATTAATTCACAGTAGTTCAAGCAGCCTAAAAGCAATTATATCTTTTGAAGAATCATTTGTAAGGTGATTCTCTGTTCATCTGCACCAGCAACAGAGAGTGGAAATCTTGAGTTACATTGGCCTTTAGATGGCATATGTGACCTGGGAGATAGGAAGTGGGTATCTGGCAATCATTACTGAGAAAGTTTGTAGAACTAAATTAAATAATCAGTTTTGTTATTTTCTATTGTTGTATGTAAAGCATGCTCTGATGAGGTCTTTTTGCATAACTCCCGTTGAAACTAAAGGAAGCCGTATGCACAGGAGAGAAAAATGGACTCAAAGAAATTTTTCTTCTCTTAACACTGTCTTACTAGTGTTCTCTTTCTTTTTTAGGCACCTTAACAATGAACATGCATTGGATGACAGAAGCACTGCTCAGTGTCGGGTGCAAATGCAAGTGGTTCAGCAGTTAGAAATACAGGTTTGTTACATGGATGTGTTATCCTATTACTGTTAACCTAAACTAAATTGAAAACACTTGCCTTAGCGACTGTAGCTTAAAGCCATGTGTTTCTTGCCTGAAATTTGTTGATATTCATGAACAACAAGTGGGGTTTTTTACTTAAAGATTATTCACATTATAAATTATGCAATAATTATCTAACATCAGCATTGGCTACAGTATTTTGCTTGAACTGAGACCCTAAATGCAATTCATCATGAATGAAAAATGCAGTCCCTGGAGCAGAGACTGGATCCAAGCTGTCTTCAGTTTTTGAAATGCTGGGTCAGGACCTCTCTTCCTTCATCCCCTTCTGACTCGATGCTTGTCTATGCTGTTCTGCAGGACAAAGGAGTATCAGAGTGTATCTCCACCTGAAATGACTCCCAGCCTGATGGCGGGCATTTTTCTGCAAGCGGAAGGTGTAATGTCAGACCCACTCAAGGAGGTCCTCAGGGAGTCCCGGGGCTGGGACCGCAGGACTCGGGGGGTGCCCTGTTCAGGCTCTAACCATTAGAGGTCACTGCATGTATGTGAATGCTCCCTCCAGCTTACTCAAGAAGTGCCGAGTGCCCCTGGGGTCTCACGGTACTGAGAGGACACTTACCAGGCTACCGAGGCTGGGTGCAAACCTCAGCAGCCCAGAATGACAGTGCAGGACACTTAACATCCCGCCATCCCCTGCCGCCTGTACAGAGCCGTAGGAGGGCATTTCTCAGGAGTCCTGTCCCCTCATGGGACTGTTCAGAGGAGCTCAAGGGACACAGCAAGAGACTGAGAATTTTTTCCCCCATTTCTTGCCATATGTGGAGAAAGAAGGATAAACACCTTTCAGCTTTCTTGCCTTTTATCATATTGTGTGGCTGTTCTCATGCACATAAGAATACTTCTTTAAGCCAAGGCAAACTGTTTAGGTCTTCTGCATGTTAATACTGGAAACCCAAAGCAATGAGAGGAGTGTACAATAATGTCATTTATTGTCATTTCCCACAAAATGAAAACTTCATAAAAACCTAGGCAAAGCTACAGTTTCTTTTATAACATTACAGGAGAGTGTTAGCTTAATTTGTTCGTTAGGAATTTACGTAATGGCAAATAGAATATCTCTGAAGTGTCACACACATAATACGAAGCTTAAGAAACCTTTTCCCACCACCTGCCTTAAATATTCTTTAATTAAAGATGCACTGACCAAATTATATCTGGCATATCCAGAATATCTGCAGTAATACCGGTAGTTTCCCCCTCCTAAAATGGCTTACAAAGTGTTTTCCTTAGTCCAATCTCAGTCTACAGATGTAACTCTTGAGCTGAATTCATGCCAGAAAATGACAGCATTAAACACCCAGTGATTCTTGTTGCAATTAATGTTGTAATCGTGTTGTAGGTATCCAAAGCCATATCACTAGAATACAATTTTGAGTATTCCTTCTTGCAACCTAACTTTGGAAAAAAAATTATTCTTTTCATGTTCTAAGATACATTTTCCTTTTTTATGTTCGTGTGTTTTTATCAACAAGTTATGTATTTCAAACACTTCCTCCTCTTTCTTTTTTGTTGAAATGTGGTAGTTTGCTTGAGTCTGAAACTACAGATATTTACGTAGCATATAATCAGAAAATAGTATCAGTTAGGAAAAAGTACAGGTTTCAGTAACATGATGTTTTCTAAAGGCAGTTTAAGGGCTGCTTGAGAAATGTTTACGATTTACAAAGGCTAGGCTGTAATGTAACAGTCCAAGTGAAGATTTAGCTTGCAGTGTGACCAATTATGCCATTTTTTGCTTTGTCTGACTGCTAGTGAAGTAAGGTCCATCAGTTGTAATGAGACCCAGTGCAGTGTCGATGCCGACTCGGTGGCAGAGTTCAGCGTTTCACACTGCCTGGGCCCTGTCACTCTATTGAATTAGATTGATGATGGCAGATTGCAGGGGGCACTAACTGGACCTCAGTGGGAAAGGATGAAGTGTGTAGACAATCCTGGCAGGCACTGTGCTTTGAGGACCCTTCACCCCTTCACAGCTGTTGGCACTAGTCCATTGCTAACAGTGTCCACAGGACTTTAAAGAGACACTATGGGCCTTCTAATTTATGGTCTTAGTAACTTGTTACTGTCGAGGCAACTGTGACCTCAATTCTCTTATTGACAAAAAGATGAAGTGTTATTTGTTTTCTCTGACCTTTTAACATATGAAAGGCTATAAAAGTTTTTTAGTTTTTTTCTTTCTTTCTTTCTTTCCATGCCCAAAGTTGCATTTCCTCCCAGATAAGTTTCTACTGACATAGACTTTTATATGCAGGAATCATTACACCGAGACAAGCTCAATGATAAGATGTATCGCTGCAGTAAAATAGCTGTATCAGTCATTTCTAAAATGCTTCTGATCTCACTCTTTCTTAACAGCTTTCTAAAGAACGCGAACGTCTTCAAGCAATGATGACCCACTTGCACATGCGACCCTCGGAGCCCAAGCCATCTCCAAAACCTGTAAGTGCATATTGCTTTATAAACAGTAAATAGGTCTATGAATGTAGCAGACTAAGAAAATGAACAATTTAGTGACAGTTGGAAAACAATGAGTGTGATGAAAAATATGGCAATAAAATGAAGGTAAAATGCAATAGCTTGTCAAATTGTATGTTTCTTTAAAAGTAATGCTATCTTTTACAAAATCTATCCAATCTACACCTTAGGTGACACTAAACAAAGTACACCTATAAGTGTCCAAATCATTGCCTTGAGACTGAAACAAGAGAGAATGGCTTTTTGTGATAGATGTACAGATATTAAAAGGAAGCCCACTTTGAAAGATCTGAAGTTCAGTGGGCTCTGTGGCAGTAAAAAGTAAATGTAAAAAGAATCTAGGTACTGCGGAAGTTTCTTATATTACTTACAAGAGACACAAATAAACAATTAGTTATTCTTAAATAAACAAATGGAAATGCTAGTTTACACAGTGAATTTAAACAATTCTAAACATGGGGGTTTTGATCAATTTCTCTCAAGACTGCAATATTATGCATCTACTGTGATGCTGCTGGGGTTGATACGGGCACTGAAAAGTCACTGTTGCTCCCAGACACTCCACGGCGCTGCATGAGTCCCCAGTTGTGCAGCTGGATCTGCAGTCAGATCCAGAATCCATTAATCTGAATGTGGCTCCACGTAAGCAAAAGTATTGTCTGATGCGGGTTCAGTTTTGTACTGGCAGGGTGTCAGGCATCATAGTACTTACAATATACTGTGCTTAGCTGCACTGCACTTAACAATAGAAGTGATGTGACACATTAACTGTTCATTAGGGTTAACCATGATGGTAACTTTTGTATGTGCAGTATGAAAAGGATATACCAGTACTTGAAGATGATATGCTGGGGTATCGATGAAAGTCCATGTCTGTCAAAGTCAGGAAATGTAGGCAGAAGGAACATAATCTGTTTTAAAGAGCACACTTGCATATCATGCCCAGTTATTATTTACATAGAAGGACAGCATACTCCGTCTCTTGCGTTTTCAGCTCCACGTACTTCAAAGAAAATCTTTGTTTGAGGGCACACTTTATAACCTGATGATGAATGAAGAAAGTGTTAGCATTTCCTTAACACCTGCCTTTGTGAGAGAAAATTTAGATGCATTGTTTTTGCTTTCGTTAGCCTGACTAAATTCTAATTTTTATTTTAGATTATCTACTGCGGAAAGACATTTGGAAACTTTAATTTTAGTATATGTGGTGTATATATTAATAAAGCAATCAGTGCTTTTTCCGTTTCTGTGTATTGTGAAGTTTTTCTGTCATGCAGGCTTCTCAAGCAATTCAGGTTAGGTTCCAAATGCTGCTGAACTGTGAGGGAAAAGGTTTTAAGAACACATTTCTACTGTTTAATTATTTTAACCCCAGATGATCTGTATCTATCAAAATTTTGAGAATATTGTTTCTTTACGGTTTTAAGCGACTGTCTCATTTCAATAAGATTATTTTTCTCATTCCTTCCTATAGTATGATGTAGATAATCACAAGACAGAATAATTGTCTCATAAATCCATCAGGAATCTGCAGCTTGTTCTTTTCCAATTAATTATTCAATCAGTAAATTTTTTAAAACTCCAGCAGCATGGTTACATCTACACTAATAAAGAATTTTCAGCCTATAATCCAAAACAGAACCTGAATGAATAATGTAATTGAAGTATTACATTACATAAACCACACATGAAAGAATTGCTAATTGCGTTTGATGGTGGGCAATTAATACAGAATCTTAGATGAGCGATTTAAAATGAAACCACAGTTTAAAGTTCCCTTTGGAACTAGAGATATCTGAAGTGGTGAGCTGCACTACTGGCCTCAAATTGGTTTGAAAGAAGAGTGGTCAATACTACTCCCCCTCCCC